GGCCGGGGTCGAAGATTACTAAATTTTAGAAAGAAAAACAATAATATCTTTTGGAAAAAAATGTACACATAGCTGGCCTGTTTCTTTGTCTCTGTTCTGACAATAGACATATTTAGTAAACAAATGCGTACCTTCCCTATAGGCCTTTCAATCAGTAAAAATAGACAATAGCAGTAATCAGGATATTCTATAGTGTACATTCTCCACATCTCCCATTTAGGTTTCAAACGGTTCTTGTAAGTTGAATGAATGAGTACCTGGAAAATCCAGGTGAATTGAATGAATGAGTACCTGGAAAATCCAGGTGAATTGAATGAATGAGTACCTGGAAAATGCAGGTGAATTGAATGAATGAGTACCTGGAAAATGCAGGTGAATTGAATGAATGAGTACCTGGAAAATACAGGTGAATTGAAAGAATAAGTACCTGGAAAATACAGGTGAATTGAATGAATGAGTACCGGGAAAATACAGGTGAATTGAATGAATAATTGTTCCAAATCAACAATTTTTTAGGCCCAATGTAGTCAGTGTAAATAATGTCGTCTTTTAATACTTTAAGATTAAAAAGAATATTGAGGAAGCCAAAATTGATGGAGAAATTCCGTCATTTCTTTTGTTAAACAAACGTAGTGGAAAACTTGTAATCTTTTTGTTCTTCTTAAAAAATTGGCTTTTTGATGGTTGAATTATAATTTTGAAACGTTTCAATTCGAAACTAAAAAGTGCTTAACTTAAAGCAAAAGGATGTAATGATTCAAAACTCGTCTTCTATTATAATAAACTTAAAATTAGATAATTTGAAAGTGAAAACAAAATTGGGAAAAATTGGAGCACAGATTTGAAAAGAATATGGAATTATTGATGATTTTAATATTGTAAATTGTCCTTATTGCAAAATAAAATGCTCAGAAAATATTTTATTATAAGTCATTAAAACAAATCGAAATTTTTTATCATATATTAAAAATATAAAAGAAAGATTTCAACCTGTTCTTATACATACTACGAGAATCCGAGAACTTTGGAAGACGACTTTTAGAATTTATGGCTTGAAATTTGGAAGACGACTTTAAGAAGTTATGGCTTGAAATTTTTGGAATTCTACTGGCAACGCCGGGCACTGCAGCATAAATCATAAATTAATATCAGGCGGGGGTAAATGTGGAAGCAACACATTTGACGTTAAATTATGATTAATGTTTCAATCCTTGGTTACCCCAGCTTGCTTTATTTGTTCAAGTGAGAATAAAAACAATGTTTAGAGGCCTTTATAGTCATCCAAAAAAATAGCCGAGAAGTTTGATTGATCTTGACTCTTAAGACAAAGGTAGCTGTGCAAACGTTAAACAGAAAATATATAAATAAACATATGTGTTTAAAAGGCTAGCATAAATGTGTTAGTACATAGTATCCTCAAATAATTATATTTTGTTTATTTCATTCGATCGTGATTTGTGCAAGAGTGATTTCTTTCATCAAGAAGTGGCCAAAAATAGACCTCCCTCTCTAAATCCAATGTTTGATGTGCAAAAAATACAAATGATCTATCATTGGAAAGCATTTCAAAAAATTCCAAATATAGATTTTTTTTGCAAAATTCATTTACATTAAAAATGTTTTCAAAAAGAAAATTCCCAAAAATGAAAAAATACACATTTTTAAAAAACCCTTGACCATGCCATTTTAAATATGCAAAATTTTAAATAACCTAATTTGTAATTAAGAAAGCTAAAAATGTGCAAATTTCTTTTGACGAATTGTATGCAAATAATTTGCAAACATTTATTATGCATTCCATTTTCTTATGTCATAGGCTTTCCACAAAGCTAACAATTATTAAAATCTATAAACAACTGGAAGTTGGTCATAGCAAAGATTTAGTTTGTTACGGGATAAAGTAGTCATTCGGGCAGTGTGCCGGAGGACTCAGACAGTTAGTTATAAAAGCCAGGTTTTAGGCTTAAAGGGAGGGCTATGGGTAGAGTTGTCAACGATAATGTAAAGTAATATAAAATTTACGTTTTTGTTACAGTTAAAGTTTTCTACAAATTTCTTATTCTAAATTTATCGTTAACAATAACATTTACTTGTTGTTGTTGATTTTTAAATTAAACTGAAGAAAAGAAAGTCAAGATGTGCAGTGTGCCGTGTATTCACACCAATAAAACAAAACACAATGTAGTTGGTTATATTTATTTTTAACAAGCTAGAAAAATATTTTTTTCGTCCTTCTGATGATTCAGTTTTTCAATAAATATTAATTATTATATTTCCATTGAATAGAAAATAATCAAATAGCTAGAAATTGAGAAACACATGTGATTTATCAAATTGGGAACATTTTTTGCCTCGAAATCTCAGGGGGGGGGGGCTTCAGAGACTATTGTATGGAATTTATTTAGTCCGTTTTTGTTTATGTTTTATACAGTACAAAGAGAAGATGCTCACAGATTAAGCCACTCAAGCCACAATTAAAAGTTGAAATAGAAGATGGGCGCGATGCGCCCTAAAAGCCTATCTATATATAAATTTGGCTTGTCTGTCTGTTTGTTTGTATCCAATAAACGTCAAAACGGCTGAACCGATCGGGCCCAAATTTTTTGTGGGACATCTAGGGACCCCAGGGAAGGTTTATGAAAAATCAAAATTTCAAATATTTGTCTCCATCAAAATTCGATCGTCATTAAATTTTTAAAAATTTGGAAAATCCGCGAAATTTTTTGTGAAAATCCGCGAATTATTTTTTGTTTTGTTTTACGATGCACACAAAGAGAACATGTTCACAACTAATTTAGAAGATGGGCGCGAAGCGCCCTCTAAGGCTAGAAAGAAGGGCGCGAAGCGCCTTGAATTTCTAGTACTATAAATAAATTTAGCTTGTCTGTCTTTTTGTTTGTTTGTATCCAATTAACGTCAAAACGACTGAACCGATCAGGCCTAAATTTTGTTTGGGACCTCACGTGGCCCCAGGAAAGGTTTATGGCCAATCATACTTTAAATATCATAAATATGTAATCTTAAAATTTTTTTAATTAATATTATTTAATTTTGTAAAATTTTGAAAATGCGCGAAAAAATATTATGAAATCCGCAAATCTAATTTTTTAACACTATACAAAGAATGATCTAAATTATACTAATTCTTAAGCTAAACTTGACTTCGCAATCAATTCAGTGGAAATTAAGAATCAAACTGCATTTTGTCAGTGTCGAAAAAGCGTTTGCAAGAGGAGGACGGAATCGGCAGTAAAGCAAAGATGTTGATAGGTGATGAATCATTGAGTTCTATGTTTATTTTGTCACTGATATGCTGAAGAAGGCATGTGAAGCAAAGAATTATTATAATTCTCTCGAAGTATCTCAAATTCTCAAAACGAAGGGAAAATTTAAAAATTTTTGTTAAAACGTTTTTTATTTTTGTAAAATTTTATAAGTTTATTTTCAAACCTCGTTGGATTAAAATACCTATATTTTTTTATTTTAAAGATGCGGTCACATCTTTATCATATAAAAAATAGGAGAGGAGGGGGAAGGGGTCAGGAGTGATTATATAATAAAAATCATATGTAAATTATTATATTTGTTATAGATAATACAGGATGTCCCAAAAAACATGGGAATTCAGTGACGAATTCGATATCGTCTTTGTTCTGAATTAGCATTGTAATACCTAATTTCAAAAGCCATAATATTATTATGTCTGCTAGAGTTTATTTAAAGAAAACGGTAAAAGACTGCAAAGATGTGTGTATATAATGTCTCCGCAAGATGAACAGTGAATACGGACAAGTTTACTCTGTTTGTATACTGTAATTTTCTTGTTTTACTAAGTACAACCGGTTGCAGTCAAAACATAAACAAACAAAATGTAAACATAGCAGACGAAACTCTTACAGATTACAGCTTTCTCAGTAGGTATCACTATACTAAATGAAAGAATTATTTGAAAAGACGATATCGAATTCGTCACTGAATTCCCATGTTTTTTGGGACACCCTGTATCAAATCGTAAGATTACAAAGTGATATTTTGGTCTAGGATAATATACTGGGTCTGGTCTATTCCGTATACACCATACGCCCTCTCTCAAATATTACCACTGAGCCCCACCAATAGGTTTCCGAACCACGCGATATTTATTCACATCTCATGTCAAACTAAAGTAATATGCACGTCAAGTTAAAAACTTCTGTTTTTTATCATAACTCATTTTTTAGAAAGCTTTTGAGAATAACAAATGTTTTGAATGTATAAGATGTAACCGAATAACTTAGCTTTTCTTACACTTATACTTAAAATCAGAACGAGAGGAGCAATGAAGTTACAAAGTCGTAACTTCAATGTCAATTGAATTTGATTTTCTCCTCCTGATTATTTCGCAGTGAGCTCTAGTAACACATCTTGAAAGGTAAACAAGAAACTTCCACTCTCTACGCAAGAATTCCGTTAGTTTTTAAAATCAATTGTTTTATAAGATCCGCTAACATCTAGAAACAACTTTATAAGGTACACTCTTGGTTTCAAAATTATTACAGAAGTAAATCTTTTTATGCAATTGCTCAAAGGCGGTTAAGGAAAGAAGGCCTAGCGGTCACACAGCACACTCGGCCGACTGATCTAGAACTCCCTTATTTAGGCACTTAAACCGCTACAGGCACTTCTTAGTACAATAACACGTTTAGCTATTGAAAAGGGACCGAGCACATTTTCAAATAAATGGCCTACTTCTGAACGTTAAAGATGCATTATGTACAATTAAACATGTTTAGTAGGCGAAAAAGCTTAAACACACTTTTTCAAACACCCTTTATAGTGTAAATATATTTCTAAATTCTCAGATGTCACCATACATAATCACAAACACCAAATCTGTCCCCCCCCCTCCCCCTAATAAAATAGACCAGTTACGCCCCTGAAAGGGACCAGCAGTGGGAACATGATTTTTCAATTATACATATTTTTTTATACTTCTCAATCTTAAAATAAATAAACAACAATTGATAATCATAGATTCATTTCGGTAAAACTGATCTAACAATTCATTTTATCTTCTCTCCTTGGACTTGATGTTGTTCTCTGGTTGTGCTGACCCAGATATTTGTAATATATATATAAACTAGACTAGATTAGGAGGTGCCTCTATCAGGCCGAGATTTTCCTTCTAATAATGGTTGATTCTTCCTTAGCGCCTGAAATATAAACAGATTTAATTATTCAAACCATATCAAATCAGACCAATTCAATTCAATCCAAATCATTCATGTTGAAATAAAATAATTCAATTAAAAATCAGCGGAAAAATACAAGTAATACAACTATCCATAGCTACTCAGCTAGTAAATTTACTTGATATTATTAATCTATTATCATCTCAGAACAATTTGTTTGGTAGAAACTTACCTCTTTTTCCTTGAGCATGGCCACTCTTTTCTTCCTTTCTTCTTCATAATCTAATAAACTAGCTCGGGATTCCTGGATACCTTCCACCCAGTCTTTTCCTAAAAATTGATTTTTTCAAAAATAAATCTGTAACCCTAATTTCAAGCAACCCTCCATAAAAAAATGGTAATGCCCGATTCACAACGGTACCCTAGAAGTCTTAATCTGATAAATAATGGTTTTCTAGGTTTAAATGGGTTCTGATAATTCATGTTTTTCCATCAGCAGAAATGCGCAAGTCACATATGTAGAAAAATCATAATTGAAAATTAACAGTTTTAAAATTATTAGCATTGATATCTAATTCATACTTGCAGACAAAGTTGAAAATCGAGCATTGCCGTCTATGCAGGGAAGGAACTTGAAATTCCGCGTACAGCCCCTTTATAAATACTAGAGAGAGAAACCCTTCGTCCAATATTTGGCTTGCCAAATTCACAACGGTACCATTTAACCCTTATACCTTAAAGGTATATGCCCCCCCCCACGAGTGAAAACACTTGACAGTAAATATTGGACAATCTTGCACTCTAGAACACAGAGCTTAGACGCGGTCCATTAGATAAAAATTAGGTTGTTAAAGTAAATGAGTCAAGCAATTAAAATTCTATAATTAATATGGTCATTAAATCATAAAAAAACGAAGTAACAAACCTGCTTCTAAAGGATCATAAGGTTTAGTTATTTTCTTCTCTGGAACATAGATTTTAAACATCTTAAAGTATTTTAACACGTTGGCAGTCGACGTAGCATTTAATCTAAAAAATTAAGAAGTTAGAAAACAAAGTGATTATGTCACTTTAAAATTTAAATCATAAATAAAACAGAAAAACCTGTAAAATTCAATGAAAATGAATGAAGAAAAATGGTCGAACAAGTCGTGCAATTTAGCTAAAGAACTAAAGGCGAAACTTGCACAGAAAATCGATTCAGTGACTAAACTTTTTAAGAGGTATCCAACGTTTACGATTGAACCGTCAAAGGGGAAATATATCGTCTTTGCGGTGAGGTCTTAAGTTTTGGCCTCTAAATAAAAATGTCCACCTCTATATAGTGATGTTCGTCTTTGGTTCATTTTCGGGTCATTTTTGCTTATATTTTATTTCAGGGTTAAAATTTAACATAGTGTAACGTAAACAAATGTATTTCAAATTGTGTATTCTAAATATTAGATTTTATTACACTGTCAAAATTTAGCATAGTGTAACGTAAACAAATGTATTTTAAATTGAGTAGATATTCTAAATATAAGATTTTATTACAGTGTGTCAAAATTTAGCATAGTGTAACGTAAACAAATTGTATTCTAAATGGTGTATTCTAAATATTAGATTGTATTACACTGTGTCAAACGTAAACAAATGTATTTCAAATTGTGTATTCTAAATATTAGTTTTTCTTACACTAGATGTCAAATTTTAGCCCTAGCGGAAGTTATATGCAAAAAAATACCGAAAAACAGTCTGAAAACGATGCAAAAAAGAACGTGTCGAAACGATCGTTTTTCGGATTGTTCTTGAACTTTTTATTTGTTTTAATTCCAAGATATTGCAAACTATTTAACATAATACAGTTAAGAAATCTTAGCAGTTTTATTAATTTTTCTTAAAACTATTAAAAACGATTAACAACACTACCTGTATGTATCTGCTATACTAGTAGCTGTGTGCTCCTCAGGTTTAGATGTATGATTAGTCAAGAACTCAACTGCCTAGAAAACGATATAAGTTTGCCACTGTTATTCGGGGGATGAAATAAGACCATAATTGATATATTATTCAACAACAGACTACAAATATGCAATATGCACAAATAAATTTATAAAATAAACTTACAAATTTTTTTTTTAATAAGATCAAAAAACTTTAACAAAACACCAAGAAAATTTTACAACAAACGAACCAATTTTAATAAATCTTACAATAACAAAAAATAGATCAATATATAATGTCTCGTCAATTATCATTCCAATGACATTTTTCAATTACTCTGCACGGTTACAATTTGATTATATACTCATTAAGAATGGGGGGGG